TAGCTGGGATAGCCCCAGCGACAAGGCAAAATACTACGCCTCCCTCCCGGCGTGGTCGGTATTTTGGTATGGGAACAGATGTGGTGTTATAGGGAATGGAACTATTTATTCCATCATCTGTGGTACCCATCGGTGGCAGATCTCAGCCTTTATTTGGTCGCTCCTGTAAGACTGCATTACGCAGTAAGCAGGCGTGTTATCAGGCCTGGGCTGAGGCTTCGGCGGCTCGGGATGTAATCACCAGCATCCTTAAAAACAAGTATAACTTCGCCTCCAAGTCCTTCAAAAGTGTTATTGCCATGGCAAAGTCAGAGCACATGAGCAGAATTGGCGAGAAACTAGTATGCCTTTCTTCGGGAACCAGGGAACCCGTGCATTCTGGTCTCTCAGCAAGGCTGTCCAAGGGAATTTCTGTAAGCCATCACTACCATCTCTGCACAGGAATAATGACTCACTGGCCCACGCCGCAAAAGAGAAAGCCGACGATGATTTATGACGAGGGGAATACACCGCCGACCATCCCGCTGTGTGAGTGCTCTATGCCTGATGTGCGATTCACACAGTGCTCAGTACGTAGAGCACTCCTCTCCCTGGACATCCACAAGTCGAGTGTGCCTGACGGAATTCCGCCAATTGTGCTGAGGACGTGCGCTCCAGAGTTGGCACCGGTTCTAACGCGTATTTTTCGGTTCTTCTACTTGGCATATCTGGCATTGTCCTGAATTCATGGAAGATAGCTTTCGTGCACCCAATTCCTAAAAAAGGTAACCGCTCTGATCCGTTCAATTATAGGCCTATCGCCATCACCTCCTTGTTCTCGAAAATAATGGAGTCCATTATTAACCGCCACCTGATGCGGTACCTTGAGGAGCACCAGCTGATTAGTGACTGCCAGTACGGTTTCCGTCGGGGTCGCTCAGCTGGTGATCTTCTTGTTTACCTAACACATAGATGGGCGCAGGCGATCGAGTTCAAGGGGGAGTCATTTCATCTTAGTCCTCACGGGTAACAACGCATCTGCATTTTGACTCGCAAACGAGGTTAAATGTAGATGTCTATGGGCCACAGCAACCACTTACCATCAGGTGGACTGTGTGCTCGTTTGTCACCCTTATCATATAAAAAAAAAACTTTACAAAGTGCAGGTTCAGCCTCACATGGAATACTGTTCCCATCTCTGGGCAGGGGCTCCCCAGTGCCAGCTCCTTCTACTTGACCGCATCCAGGGCAGAGCGGTTCAAATCGTCGAAGACCGAGTTCTTTCTGATCGGCTCGATACACTGGCACTGCGTAGAGATGTTGCATCTCTTTGCGTATTTTATCGCATCTTTCACGGGGAATGCTCTGAGATATTGTTCGGACTAATTCCAGCCGCTCAATTTCACCATCGCACATCGCGACTAAACTCGCGATACCATCCATACCAACTGGATGATTGGCGGTCCACCACTGTGCGATTTATAAGATGTATTCTTCGTCACACAACTTACTTGTGGAATCAATTACCACCAGCGATGTTTCCGGACCGATACTACTTAGGGACCTTCATTAAAAGAGCCTACTTCTTTTTAAAAGACCGGTAACGCATCTTTAAAACCCTTGATGTTGCAGTTGTACATGCGCGGCGGTAGTTACTTGCCATTTCTTCTATAAAAAAAAAGTTGCAACGCTTGGCAGGCGGGTCGGCAACCGCAGTTTTAATGTAATTATTAGGAAAACGTTGCAGCCCATCTCCTGGTTTATTTTCTTCTGTTGCCTCTTACGATATTCACAGGACGTTAAGGTGTAGTGGATGGTCACCGCCACTACACATGTTTTATACGTGGTTTTTTTTTCTTACCGTTACAGCCTATTAAAGCCTACTGCTGAACATAGGCCTTCCCTGTGGATTGCCTTATATGGAGAATATATGCCAAAGTTGCCACGCTTGGCAAGTGGGTTGGCAACCGCAGTTTTATTTTTATTTTTAGTCGTTATTAGGAAGACGCTGTTTTGTTTCTTACGAAGACTGGTAAGAAACAAAAAACCGCAGCGTCTTTTGTTTCTTACGAGTTCTGTATTCGAATCCTATTAAATACCAACATGATCATTATCATCATTACAGCCCTTCAGAAGTCCATTGCTTAACATAGGCCTCCACCAAGGAATGCCATAAATCACGGTCCTGAGCCACCTACATCTATCGACTTCCCGCATGTCTTACCAGGTCTTCACTCCATCTAGTGGTTCCTCTTTGTTTACCGCCGGTGACCAAACCACGGGTACTAAGCCCCCCCGCCACAACAAGGCGGGAACCCGTTCGGGGGGGAAGTTGGACTTACCTAGTCGGAATATTTGTCCCAGTTTGTCCCAAACATACTCGTCAACAACTTCGAATTTAGTGCTCTCAACAACTACCGGCATAGGTGTGACATGGATGTTACACATGACTTTTGTTTTGTCCATGTTCATCTTAAGACCCATCCGTTGGGAAACACTATTGAGGTCATTGAGCATAGTGCTTAGGTCCTCCAGCGATTGCGCCATAAGAATTATATCGTCGGCAAATCGAAGGTGAGTGGTGTACTCGCCATTGATCTTAATACCGTATCCTTTCCAGTGAAGAGTTTCGGGGATATAACGTCACCCTGTCTTACTTCTGTAGTTGGATAGGTTTCGGTACTCTGATTCTGTACTCGGATAGCTATCGTAGCCCTACTGTACAAACACTTCAGCACGTCGATATACCGACAGTCAACTTGGCACCGCTTAAGGGACTGTAGCATCGCCCATACTTCGACGGAATCAAAGGCTTTCTCATAGTCCACACACGCAAGGCAAAGTGGCAGATTGTACTCTTCTGTCTTCTGTACAATTTGCCGAAAAGTATGTGGTCCATTGTACTAAAGCCTTTTCGGAAACCACCTGTTCGGGAGGCTGGAAGTCGTTAAGTCTGCGTGCGAGACGATTTGTAATGACTCTCGAAAACAGCACGTAGACGCGGCTCAGAAGTGAAATTGGTCAGTAGTTCTTAGAACAAGACCACCGCACTTCTGCTCCACGCCTCCGGAGTAGTGCCACCATGGAGGACGGAATTAAAGAGCTGCTGAAACACTTTAATTACCGGTTTTCCACTCGCTTTCAGAAGGTCTGCTGTAATTCCATCTTCACCTGGAGCCTTGCCGTTTTTAAGGTGCTGTAGAGCCATTTTAATCTCGCTCGGACTGATGTCCGGGATATTTTCGGAATAGTGTCGGATAATCGTTACTCAAACTTGCGCGTGGCTCCAACGATGACGTGTACAGCTGCCCATAGAACCTCTCAATCTTACTCAAAATCTCAGGTGTCCCGGAAACGAAGCTGGCTCACTTGGTCTTCAGCTTTGACAGTTGGCTCTTTCTGGCAGACAGATCTCTGGTAAAGACTTTGGAGCCTCTGCTTTTTACGCTCGATTGCTTTTTCAATACAAGCTGTATTGACGTAAGTTCCGCTACATGCATTTGGAGATCTGTCTGTTCAGTTTTCTGTATGCTGTCAAATTTGTTGAAGAATGCAGCTTCATTTCCCGTCTAACAGCCATGAGATTAAGAGTGTAATTGGAGAGTTTTTGTGTTCTTCTGCAGCGGGCCTGGCAGAACTTAGCTCCGACCGCATGGACAGTTTCCACGAACTTATCATTCATATCGTCCATTTCGTTGCAGTCTTCTAGACACTGAAAACGGTTTTGTAACTCTAGCTGAGAGGTTTCGGGACTTTAGACTAGAGCACGAGGAGGACGGAGCGCTGACTTCATTAGACGAAGAGTCCCGCTTTCTCCATGAGTTCGGCCAGCTGCTGACCCCTTGGGTTCCGTTGCCCTATTCCAAATTTCCCTACCTTCAGCTCACCGTTCTCTGTTATGCCTAGTTTTGCATTGAAGTCTCCCATAAACACCGTATAGTGGGTTTTGGAGGAATGTACGGCTCCAGATATATCCTCATACATTTCCTTCACCTCCTCATCGGGATGCGTCGAGGTTGGTGCCTACGATAAATCCATCACCTCCTCGAGACAGATGGTCGCCCTCCCGGTGATAGAACAAGTTGCCGGATTCGAAGATTACCGTGTCCTACCCCTCTCTTTAGACCTCGGATAATCCTATAATATGCCAGCGTAACTTGTCAATCTCTTCTTCCAGCTCCATGATCTTATCGTCAGTCCTCAGGGTGCGTGCGTTGTACGTTGCCAGGTTGAGTCGTCTTAGGTGGCAACCGAACCTCCCCCAGAGACGCGGCGCCGTAGGAACCGTAGATTCTGAGAGACAAGAACTGGAAATAACTTGTACTGGTAACTAGGCATTCCATCCAATCTGAGTACGAACTCAGGGGTACTGTAGACAGAAACAAACCAGGAGATGGGCAGCAACGTCTTCTTAATAACATCTAAAAATATATATAAATTGCGGTTGCCAAGCTTGGCGACTTTGACAAATATCCCCCTATGAGGCAATCTATTGTTCAGCGGACTTGGACTTTGATAGCTACAATTTAATAACTTAGGTATGTTATAGCGTATCTGCATTTTCATTCTTAATTGAGAATAGATTTAAAAATCTTTAGGCCATACCATTCACAATTCCGGTGGAATGAGTGCTCGTTTGTCATCCTATTTATGTTATAAGTAAAACTTGGGTTCAATCAAATCAAAATTATTGTACATTCTAGTGCTCTATTATTGTAATTTCTAGAATGTTTTTGACTCTCCTAGTTCTGCTGCTAGAGGGCGCTAGTGGTAATTAGTGTCGCTATGTACCATGTACTTGCTGTACTAATTGTGGCATGCAACATTATTTATATGATATTGTTCAGAAATGCATCTTTAGTCACCGTATTTAATATATTGTAGTTGTCATTTTTAGACATCCTGTATACATAGTCATAGTGATATCAATGAAACCAGACGGTAGCTGAAAATATATGCGATTGAGTATATCTGTCAGACACCTTTATCTTCCGTCCATAGACTGGTTGGTACAGATAATCATGGCGATCAAAGCACTGTGCCTCGCGCTTACCCTTGCCTGCGCTGGTAAGTAAATTATAACTTTTTGTAGAATCTTTTTTTTATAGAAGAGGGGCAAGCCTGAGGTGAGGGGGTAAGTGTCGACCGCGGCCATGAACAACTGCAACACAAGGGGAATTACAGGTGCGTTGCCGGCCTTTTGAAATGGAGTAAGCTCGTTTCTTGAAGGTCTCTAAGTCGTTTCGGTCCGGAAAAATCGTAAACGATTTCACAAAGTAGTCGTGCGAGGAAGAAAACTATAAAAAATAGGAACACTAGGACCGACATCTCATCTCTAAAAATGACGAATTACCAGAGTCTGACTAAATTAACCCTCACTGGTGGAAGGAGCGCTTTACAGCGCAGACGGCGTCTTAAAGCGACTTGGTATAAGTGTTGTGAGGACTCGTAACTTGAATATCTTTTTTTATTTATTATTCTCAGTCAGTGCTTTAATACAATCCTATCTGACGATAAGTGATGATGCAGCCTAAGATGGTGAAGCGCACTGACTTAACAAAAGCCTATTCACTATTCACTCTTGCATAGAAGACACCCACACTGTATATATATATATATATCGGATGGAAAGACAGATGCTGGCAACTTATTAAACTCCTTTGCTGTACTCATGATGAACGATGTAGCAAACCGTTTGGTACGAATACGTGATAAGTCAACAACGAAAGGGTGAAGACTGGCCAAACGTTTGGTTGTTCGATGATGGAAGGGAGAGGTAGGATTTAAATTATGCAATTCATGCACACACTCTCCGAAATGCAACCTGTAGAAAACCGAAAGGCAGGCTACTTTGTTGTTGCTTGTTGCTTGTGTTCGAGGCTGGTAAGATATATCTACACTGTAGATATATCTTACCAGCCTCGAACATTGGCTGTAGAATCTACAGCCAATGTTCTACAGCCAATGTTCGAGGCTGGTAAGATATATTTTGTTTAACTGATCATTTCAATCTACCAATATCCAGCAGAGGAGATGCTACAATGACAGCAGCCCCTGACTCCAGAATCGTAGGTGGAACTCCCACCACTATCGAAGATTTCCCTTACATCGTAGCTGTAGTCTAACGGTACCCTGGTCCTGGCATTACAGTCCAGAGATGCGTTGGGGGACTCATTTCTTCTTGGCACCTTCTGACCACGTCGTTCTGCTTCACGTGAGTCGCATTATAATTTTTGACATTGAAGCTAAAGATAATTTAATTTATCAGGTGGGGTAAATGTAAGTACCATAACTAGAATAATATATTCAACTGTAGACAACTTTTTTGTTTATAAAAGCATAAAACTAATAATTACCATGTGTATTAAGCATTTAGTAAACTAAAGTTTTATGTAACTTTTTAAATTAAAATAATCAGTTAACAGAACTTTACCAAAGTTTAAAAACAAATGGTTCACTTATTACATTTACCCAGAGAACAAGGGCAAATGTAATAATGTTGCTCAGTTTATTCAAACTGTAGATAGTTTTAAATCAAGGATAATAGCAATCAAATACTAAAATTAAATTGACTTTCAGTTTTTATTTGAACGAGATCAAGGGAAAACAATAAATCCAGCTCTCCCGAACTTATTCCAAGACATATAGCAAACAATTGTTAGTGTAGTACTCTGCAATAACTGTTTTTCAATCCACTAAAACAATTGTTGCTTAATGACCTGTCCTTCCGAAGAACGAGGCCACCATCTTTTTTCCCCACGCTTCGACTTCTCTTCACTTTAGTTGGCTTTAGCTGACTCCTCGGAAGGAAACACCCAGACAGCAGACTGTCTCTTAGTTTCAGGATCATAACAATAAAACCAGCTTTCGTCACCTGTAAGTATGTGGAACACAGCATTTGAGTCACCTCCATTAAATGCTTGAACCATTTCACGATACCAATCTACACGACGGAGTTTTTGGGCCTCTGTCAAGTTATGAGGTATCCACCGGGCACAAAGCTTCCTGACTGCTAAATATTCATGGAGGATTTTGTGCACTTGACTCATACCGATGCATTATCTTGTCCGAATCTGCTGATAAGTCACTTTTTTGTCAGTCTCTATCACACGCCGCACAACACTGATGTTATCTTCAGTCATGGCCGTAGAAGGCCGTCCCCATGGAGTTATACAAGACTAAATCAATGGCCGTCCCTCACGCAGATCATCGGTGAGATTAGTGCGACCACGTTTATACTCTAAACCAGTTATAAACAGTGGCACGAGATGGGGCTGCATCGTGAAAGGCCAAACGAAGTCTATCGTATCTTTCTTGTTGACTTAAATAACATCGAAATTTCTAAAAAATCAGTGTACGAAAATTTTCTCGCGTTAAATTAGTGCTGATGTGACACAGACAATTTTCAATTTGCCGCCAAATCGTAAACAAATGACAAATTAATAAAATACATACACAACAATATTGGCAGAGTTCCATTTTCAAAATTTGAACTTATTTTTTGTTATATCGTTTACAAGTGGCCAGTTCTAAAAACTTTCAGTGTCGCCCTCATATGTCGTGTCAATGCATGTTAGGTAGGTATCTATTCCATAGAATTATTACGCATTAGTAATAATTCTATGATCTATTCGGTAGATCCATGGAACGAAAGAAAAGGGGCCTCGCTGATGCAACTTCGCGCACGTTTACTTATATTAGTCCAGGCTACGATTCTGATTGTAAGCTGTTTCAAAAAAAAGTCCCGCTGGGTTTCTTGCTGGTTCTTCCCAGGACAGAGGTTTTTTTCGAATCAGTGGTAATTAAACAAAAGAGGGACTTTCAATAAGTATTATTTACAATCTACCTATATTGAATAAAAGTATTCTGTTTCTGTATAATTGCCGTGTAGTGGCGGTCAAGAATATCCACTACCCCATATCCTCCCGTGGGTGTCGTAAAAGGCGACAAAGGGAAACAGGCAGGAGATGGGCAGCAGCATCTTCTTGATAACAACAAACTAACAATAAAAAAAAACTGCGGTTGCCAACCCGCTCGCCAAGCGTGGCAACTATGGCAAATACCGTATGACAGTAACAAAGAAACGGCCCCCAGTCCCCGGCGGCCCCGCTATTCCTGGCTATGGTGGCGACCATGGTAACGGCGAGGAAGGGGGTGCTAAGAATCTCTGGTGGAGGTTCGGTTGCCACCTTAGACGACTCGACCTGGCAACGTACAACGCACGCACCCTGAGGACTGACGAGAAGATCGTGGAGCTGGAAGAAGAGATGGACAAGTTGCGCTGACATATTATAGGATTATCCGAAGTCCGAAGAGAGGGGGAGGACACGGTAATCCTCGAATCCGGCAACTTGCTCTATCACCGGGAGGGCGACCATCTGTCCCAAGGAGGTGTCGGATTTATCGTCCACAAGTCTCTCGTTAACAACGTTGTAAATATCGGGAGTGTGTCGACGAGGGTTGCGTACCTTATACTCAGAATCACCAAACGGTATTCGCTGAAGGTCATACAGGTTTACGCACCAACCTCGGCACACCCCGATGAGGAGGTGGAGGAAATGTATGAGGATAACTCTAGAGCCATGCATTCCTCCAAAACCCAATATACGGTGTTAATGGGAGACTTCAACGCAAAACTAGGCACAAGAGAGAACGGTGAGCTGAAAGTAGGGAAATTTGGAATAGGGCAACGGAACCCAAGGGGCCAGCAGCTGGCCGAATTCATGGAGAAAGAGGGACTCTTTATGATGAACTCTTTCTTCCAGAAGCGGCCTCACAGGAAGTGGACCTGGTCGAGCCCCGACGGTTCGACAAAAAATGAGATTGACTTCATTATGACGACCAGACGACAACTGTTCAGTGATGTCTCCGTGATCGCGAGGGTGAAAACTGGTAGCGATCACCGAATGGTTAGAGGCACACTGAACCTAAACGTTAAGTTGGAGAGGTCTCGTCTAATGAAGTCAACGCTCCGTCCCCCTCGTGCTCTAATCCAAAGTCCCGAAATCTTTCAGCTCGAGTTACAAAACCGTTTTCAGTGCCTAGAAGACTGCAATGAAGTGGACGATATGAATGATAAGCTCGTGGAAACTGTCCATGCGGTCGGAGCTAAGTTCTGCAAGACCCGCCGCAGAAGAACACAAAAACTCTCCGATCACACTCTTAATCTCATGGCTGTTAGACGGGAGATGAAGCTACATTCTTCAACAGACTTGACAGCATACAGGCATCTGAACAGACAGATCTCCAAATGCATGCGGCGGGACTTACGCAACTTCAATACAGCTCGTATTGAAGAAGCGATCGAGCGGAACCAAGGCTCCAAAGTCTTTGCCAGAGATCTGTCTGCCAGAAAGAGCCAACAGTCAAAGCTGAAGACAGAATGTGGCAGCATCGTTTGCGGGACACCTGAGATTTTGAGTGAGATTGAGAGGTTCTATGGGCAGTTGTACACGTCATCGTTGGAGCCACACGCAAGTGTGAGTAACGATCCAAGAGCGAGTCTCATCCGACACTATTCCGAAGATATCCCGGACGTCAGTCTGAGCGAGATTAGAATGGCTCTCCAGCACCTTAAAAACGGTAAGGCCCCAGGCGAGGATGGAATTACAGCGGAGCTTCTGAAAGCGGGTGGAAAACCGGTACTTGAAGTCCTTCAGAGGCTCTTTAATTCCGTCCTCCATGGTGGCATTACACCGGAGGCGTGGAGCAGAAGTGCGGTGGTCTTGTTCTTCAAGAAAGGTGACAACGCTCTCTTGAAGAACTACAGACCGATTTCCCTTCTAAGCCGCGACTACGTGCTGTTTTCGAGAGTCATTACGAATCGTCTTGCGCGCAGACTTGACGACTTCCAGCCTCCCGAACAAGCCGGTTTCCGAAAGGGCTTTAGCACCATAGACCACATACATACCTTTCGGCAAATTGTACAGAAGTCCGAAGAGTACAATTTGCCACTATGTCTGGCGTATGTGGACTATGAGAAAGCCTTTGATTCCGTCGAAATTTGGGCGGTGCTGCAGTCCCTTCAGCGGTGCCAAGTTGACTGTCGGTATATCGAAGTGTTGAAG